TCACGTCGTGAATCATAAGGGCTCACGACGTGAAGTCTGTCTGAGCATATAATTTCATAATTAATCCCAAGTTTCAGTAACTATAATTCTTAAACTATTACCACTTAATTTTAGGGACCCCACACTCAGTGTTTTATTATGCATAGAATGTTGTAGATGATATGATCGATTGTCCTAGAAAAATAAAATGCAAAAACTAAAAAGAAAAGAAAATCCAAACCAAACTCGGGTTGCCTCCCGAGAAGCACTTCTTTTTGATGGAGTCGTGAGCCGGACTCCGTGCCTCCTACGTTGAGCTGTCAGAGGAGTCCATCACCACCTGGATTTTCTACTCTTTCCATCGCCTCTTGTACGCTTGAAATCGTCTAATGTACGCCTTCTTTGAATTCTCTTTTTTAGCTTTTACTTCATCTACATCGAGCTTGCGTTTGATCCCTTTAGTCTCTAATTTTTCATCACTCTTATTAAGCTCCATAGGAATCTTTTCTTCCTTCACCACTGGACTTGTCTCCCCTGGAACTAGCCTCGTCTTCATCACTCGACAAATCATCGCTTTCCTCACTCATCATAGTTGTTGGTTTTGTGTAGGTAATGACTTCAACGAAAAACGGTACGGATGCTCTCGGTTTGGTGTGTTTGACTTGATGAATTGTCTTGATTTCTTCCTCCATGAGCTTTTCTAATTCTTCAAGTTCATTATCTTCATCAATATTAAACACCTCTCCTTCAACATCATTTCCTTGAAATCCATCTTGTACTCCAAAATCTTCCTCATCATCACCAACCCTCAATGTAATCTTGGATTCACGAACATCAACTAGAGCCCTAGCAGTATTTAGTAGAGGGCGACCAAGAATGATTGGGACATTTACATCCTCCTTCATATCCATAAGCACAAAGTCAACTGGGAAAACAAATTTCCCAATTTTAACAAGGATGTCTTCTACGATTCCCCTTGGGTGCGTCACCGAACGATTGGCCATGTGGATGGTCATCTTCGTAGCCTTCATTTTCTGAATATTCAACTTTTGATAGAATGAATATGGCATCAAATTTATGCTAGCCCCAGAATCGGCTAAAGCATAAGTCTTCAAATTGTTTCCAAACTCACATGGAAGAGTGAGGCGTCCAGGATCTCCCATCTTCTTAGGTATTTCTCCCAATACAACTCTTGAGCTTTGTTCACTAAGAATAACTTTGGAGTTCTTCTTCAATTGTTGACGAGTGTCTATAAGGTCTTGAAGGAACTTAGCATACTCTGGAATTTTAGACAGTGACTCAATAAAAGGAGTATTAATAGGAATACCCTTTACTTGCTTGATAAACTCCAGATGTTCCCTTTCCAGTGGGCTGAGATTAGCTCGAGACGGGAATGGTAAAGGCGGTTTATAAGCCGAAACGTTTACAGAATATTTCTGTTCAGACTGAGCCCACGACGTGAGCATATCGGGCTCACGTCGTGAGTCTGGTACTTTAGCAACATCTTAGATTTCGAGCTTCGACTTCTTTGGCTTTGGTCCAGCTGGCTTTGGCTCCTCCTCTAGTGCTTCTAAGAACTCAGAGATGACCTATTCTTCAGTCTCGATCATCATAACATGGGATTGAGCATTCTTTTCAGGAAATTATGAGGATAATTTGTTGCTCACCAAAGTAGTTAGTTGACCAACTTGGACTTCTAGATTATGAATCGATGCTTGATGATTTCTTAATGAGGCTTGCTGGTCAATCATCATTGCGTGCTGTTCTTTCATCATTTTCATGTGTTCCTTTAGCACTGCATCAGTATCATCATGCCTTTTCTTGGAGACCTCCATAAATCGGGTCAAAATATTTTCCAAGTCTACTTTCTTCTCGGCTGGTGGTTGCTCTTTTTGGTAGAAGCCTCGGCATGTCTGCTTATATTTTTCTTCCTTTTTCTTCTTGTACTCATCATATGGCAGCCACTCTTTCTTTGGTTTTCTCCAATCCTCATCATACTTATCCCCACTCGAGTAGCAAACTTGAGCCTTTTTATACCCGTTATCATCTAAGCTGCAATCTTTGGTCAAGTGTGGACCATTACACCTTTCACATCCAACTCTTATTGCATGAATTGATTGGTCCATTTGGGTCAATATCCGGTCCATATTATTCAACATCGCCATCATAGCAGCCATCTCTTCAGAATGTGCACCCCCACTGCCTTTTGTTCCATCTTGTCTTGGGTTGTGATACTCATGAGAGTGTTTTGCGAATTCTTCAATTAGCACCTTGATCTGGTTAGGATTCTTCTTCGTGAGAAGGCCTTGCGAATCAAGGAGTTGCCTAGTCATGACATTGACCCCATCATAGAAAATAAACATCTCTTGCTGAATATTAAGGTCATGTTGAGGACAATTCCTTAACAATCCTTTGTAACGCTCACATGCCTCGTATAGTGACTCCCCCAGTTGTTGCTCAAAGTTGGCTATTGCCTTCTTGAGTTTAGCTATCTTGGATGACGGGAAAAATTGGTCTAGGAACTGCTCACGCATTTGAGCCCAAGTAGTGATTGTACCAGGTGGGAGTGCTTTCAACCAGTCTTTTGCAGCTCCTTTGAAAGTAACTGGTAGCATCCTCAGCAAGACAGTATCCCTATTAACATTTGGGACAATGAAATAGTCAGCAATGTCGTTGACCTCATCTAAATGTTTGAAAGCATCCTGATGATCCTTTCCATAAAACGGAATATCCTTTAGTGCATTAAGGATGTGTCCCTTCAACTCGAATGTGGCAGTGGCAGGAATCGCGGGTTGTACTAATCCCGGACCAACATCTTCTCGAATACGCTTCTTGTAAGCTCCCATTGACATTTCTTCGATGTTCGCCATTTCGTTTCTTGGCTCGTCTTCGGGTTCGCTCGTATGTAGTCCAAACTCGTTCTCGGACTTGTATTCAGATTCGTTTGGGATAGGTATTTGATCTAAGCTCTCAATATTGCTCTTGTCCTTTGAAGATGAACTCGATTCTCCCGTTTTCTTCCCCGACTTCTTTGAGAACTCTTTCCCTCAATGGTTTATAATTTAGCTATGACAATTACTATTGGTACCAATTAAGATAGTATTAGCAATTTAGTTCTAAATCTACTAACATTAATTAATTCATGTAAGTCTAATGTATGGTCACACAATAGTTAACACAGAATCAATTATTGAATATGATTGGAGCCATGTAAAATTGATTTGATAAACACAATTATGGTCATAATATGAGTTCTCTAGCACATCCTAATTCAATTATTCAATTACTTATCTAAGATTGGTTTGATCTTAGCTCTAATAAACTAGTGTTCACTGAATTATTAGGTATTCATATTCATGCAGCTTCATATTCACTAACTACACAGAACAAGAATTTAAAGCAATCAAATACTAAATCAAACATGCTAGGTTCAATCAATCTAACACAAGCACAATACCAACAAGTAAAGTCAAATCTAATGTATTAAAACCATGAGTTTCAGCTTCATCTAGCTAACAGAAGCAACTAGATTTAGCTGGACATACTAGCAATTAAACAAACACAAGTCATATTAAAAAGCATACTAAATGTACCAAACTATAAGTCAACTAATGAACTTTTTTTCTCCTTTTGTGTTGATACCCTATTCCAGAACTTCTTTTCTTCTGAAAATCGTCTCCAGGAACCCTCCAAGTAGCCAAAAGTCTCCTCAAGTCGTAATGGACAAGGATATATATATGTACTTTCTGATTTTTCCAAGTTCACGTCGTGAGTAGATAAGCCTCACGTCGTGAGTACGAGATAAACGTGTTCGACAAGGACTCTTTCATCCGGTGTATATCTTCTAGAATACTCCACTCACGTCGTGACTCTTCAATTACTCACGTCGTGAGATCGTGTTTTGCTGAGCTTTTTTTATTCTTCTTTCCTTCAAGCCTCCAAAGTTCCATGTTTTGTCAACTTTAGTCCCTTTCTTCGAAAATGCTTCTATTTGGCTGCAAAATATAATTTAAGACTATAAGTACCATTATTCTATGCAAATAACCAAATTATTAATAAAAATGTAAATAAATATTACCTAAAAATATGTATAAATATGGCAATATCAAAATATATATATATATATATATATATATATATATATATATATATATATATATATATATATATAGTGTTGTTACGATATTTTAACCATATAATATATACACATTTTGACCATTTAACGTTTATTGGTACATAAATTATTGTATGATTTATAAAATCTATAACAATTTATCTATAGTTGATCAGAAGTTATTAGTTATGTATCAATATAAATGGTTATACTTTGAAAATAAAAATATAATGTTATCTCTATCGTTAAAACTCACATTTTTTTTTGGATTGAATAATAATATATTATTTCTGGAATATATTGCCAATAATTGGAAATCATAATTTAAGGTTTCGCGATTACTGATTCAAAACGTCTAATTTTTTACTTTTATAAATATTTTTACTAAAAGTATTTCAAATATAAAATTAATTATTAGACTATAGTCTGAGTCCAAAAATGTTTTCGGAATTCCTATTTGAGGTGTGCAAGTCCCTCAACGGATAGAAACGATTTTAGCGATTTTAAGAAAATCAATATTATACAGGTTTTGGATTTTTAAAACAGTCGTATCTTTTACATACGAACTCCATTTTGGACGTTCTTTATGTACTACGAGACTAGAGTGTTTGTATTGTTCACAACTGTTTAATAATGGGGATTCAGGGGCGGGGACGGAAGAACGGGGAAATTTCGAGGGCGGGGGATGCACTCCCCGTCCCGTTTGCCCCCGTTGATATCCCTAGATCTAACAATATATCTTTACTTTATCATTTTCTTTTATTTATCAAATTAGTTTTATTAGTTTTCCAATAATACATTGCAAACGACATGTTTGAACGATTTATTTCCTTCTTTATAAAACAACTAAACATGATAATAAAATGTAACCAATGTATAAGAAGCATCAAAAGCAAATAACAAGTAACTCCTTAACTTCTATATCAAAACAAATTTTAAAATGTAAAATTTTACAACATTTATAAATTGTACTCCAAGAATCTTCTAATTAGTGATCAAATACAAGTTCAATCACATCACATCTAATGGTCATACATACTCATTTACACATCCAAAATAACTCTTACCAAAAACAACCTCCCAATCAACACTCCACCCTTGTGATTATATAATATCGAATTTACACTTTTTTTTTTCAGAAATCAGAATACAGATGTGCAATTCCATCTACTGGCCAAGAGATGGCTTTGGATTTTCATTGACTCGAGAAGCTTCCTTTTTCAACTTGAAGTTATTGTATGCAGCCACACCACCAATTGCTGCACATTTCGTATGATGGAATCAGGAAATGAAAGGAATGGAATGGTTCATTCCATTGGAATTGACCATTCCTCAAGGAATATGATTACTTCCATTTAGTTAACTTTCATTCAACCAACCAACAACAAAAATTGCAACAAACAAACAATAAAAAAACAATAAAATGAAAATAAAAAATGATTTTACCTATTGCATAACCGAAGATATTTATGATAGTGAGCTTTGTATCAGCAAAAAGAAGTGCTGACAACAACACCACCACCCAATCTTTAACAACTCCCGCCACCCGAATAGTCAAAGCACTTGTATGTTGAATCACAAGAAAAACCGAAAGATTGAGTCCAAAAGTACAAAGGGAGTTCAATGTAAGCACAAGTGGATGAAAAGTCCATGTCCCCTGTGCATCCATCTTTGGCTTTTCCAGAAATACCCATGGCACTAAAAGACAAAGAGCGCTGCACAGCGAATCAAGATTCTGTTCATTCACATAAACACATATTCAATAGAAAGAAAAAAAAAGAATCATAGTTTATAAATCCAGGGGAAACCGTAAAAAGGGTACTTGCCTGCAAGGGCTCACGTAATACATCATGGAAATAGGGTTTAGTTTTAAACCTTTTCTTTTAACCAAAATCTCCATGAATATAAGTCTTAAAGCTTCTCCTACAACACCTCCCATTTGATAAACAACACCAACCCAATTAATGCTGATTTCCCCATAAGAAGCTACTAATACTCCAAAACTTATCAAGCACATTATCATGAGCATTCTGGTGTTCATTACTTCTAGTCCTGCTGCTACCCCTAGAATGAAAACAGCTACTGGCACTGCATAGGTGGTGTTGTTTGTTACACAAGGGTATTTATGTCTTTTGTACATGTGAGAGAATGGTGTAGGATATACTTACTGACTGCTTTCAGCATTTGAGCAAATGCAACGGATATGTAGAGGTATGCAGTGTTTCCAAGCCAAAGAGTCATGGCAAACATTGCACCAATTGGGATGACTGATGATGTGTATCTGTAAAAAGTAAATAATAAAAGAAAAAGGAAACATATCATGAGTCATGACTTTTTTTGATTGACTAACATACTAAAAATGGATAAAAACAAGGTCAAAGCTTACATTTCGAGAGTCATTCCATCCTCAACTTTTAAAATCTGTGAACAAATTCAAGTTTTTGTTATAGATTTGCAGAAGTTATATAGTTATAAACATGGATGTTTAAGTTTTGGAGAAGATTATGAGTATTTTATTACCTTGAGGACTTTGGTGAGTACAAAGCAAAGCACAGAGGAAAACATCATATGAAGAAGTGTCAGGCCAAGTGGATATGGAAAATTTATCTCCTTTGATGACAACACCCACTGCATTGTTGTTATTGAACAAATCAAGTAAGTTTTGATTCAGTCAATATTTATTAAACAAACGGGTTTTTCTTATATAAATTGCATCAAGGAAGGCTGATTCAATTGAGATGGAATCATGGAAGTTGTATGATGAAGCAGACATTAAGTCTTAATCGCTAGAGAGTAAGAATGACTAAGGAGAAACACATGAGAAAATCAGCAAAGTATCATCCGACACAAAAATAGTTGCTCCAATCAGGTTGAGTTGGGGGGGACTTGGTTGTGCAACCTTTTGCTTTCGAATTTAACCAATAATCAATTAAGGAGCATAAGATTGTATAAATCAAAGAGGACAGAGATTAAAAGGACCATACATTTTGCTCTGGAAATCCTTGCAAACAATAAATAACTATCATAAACTCGACTTATATACGTTTCATCATCAAATCATAGATATTCACATCAGAAAGCGTTACAGATCTCAAGATACGCCATGAATGAAAGGGATGGTTAACAGAAAACGTAAAAAGGTAAAGTGTGCAGAAGAAAATGACCTTGTTGAAGAAGATCTGGCCGCTGGAGAGGGCTATGTAAAGAAGGAGGTAACAATAGGTCACCATTCCTTCCCTGGCTGGAGAATTGCTACTCTGATCCGCCATTTCCGAGGCTGACTCGTTTCTCTTCTCTACCGGAGGTTTCGTATCGAAATGGGTACGATTCCGTATCATTAAGCGATGCAAAAGCCAAGAGTTACGGGAGGGTTTGCAAGTCGGTGACTCGGTGGGATCCTGCTTACTTTAATTGCAAAATCAAAATCAAAAAAAGGTTACAAATGCCTCCTAAAAAAGCAAATCCCTCTCTTAATGCAAGATACATGTGACACGTTTTTTAATATAATCAATTTATTAATTTTTTGGGTTAACAGCTTGATAGAAATGTATTCTATGAGGGTAAGATACTTTTTGAAATGTACACATTTAGTCCTTATTCTTTTTTAAATAAACCCTTATATTTTATTAATATGTACACATTAGGTCATTTTCACCGGATTCTACAGGTTTTGCTGACGTGGAAGGGTTTATTTTACAAAAAAAAAGAATAAGGACTAAATGTGTACATTTCAAAAAGTATCTTACCCTATCAAGTCATTTTCCCTTTCTTTTATTTTGTTGAAATGAAATACCCAGGTGGCATCCACATATCCACAACGAGATTTTTCCAACTTTTATTCATCATGAAAAAGAGGGAGAACCCCGATCTCCGGCGACTCCTTTGTGTGTTCCTACACATCACTGGTAGCAAGGAAGAATGATGACAAAAACAACAAGGTCGAAGGGAGAGGCAGGAGGAAGTAGAGACGGTTGTTGGCGGCGAGGAGCTGCTCTGGTAGCCCCCTCGTCAATTCTTTCTTCTTTTTCTGGCAACATATCTCAAAGATGGAGGCAAAGAGAGACAGATCGGAGAAACACAACAGGTAAAGGGTGTTTGGCTGTTGCTGTTCGACCGGAAGGAAGAGAGACGAGAAAGAGAAGGGTCGCCGCCCTTTTCTTGTTGCTGGAGGATCACCCACCTCCGGTGACTAAGCTAATTAATTGCTATTTAGTGCCACTTGTGCTTCCACATCAGCAAAACCTATAGAATCCGGTGAAAAGAACCTAATGTGTACATATTAATAAAGTATAAGGGTTTATTTTACAAAAAAAAAAGAATAAGGACTAAATGTGTACAATTCAAAAAGTATCTTACCCTATCAAGTCATTTTCCCTAAAAGAAAATTCGTATATGATCGGTATACCGGGTATAGCCGGTCACAGGGATTGCATTGTTACAAAAAATAAAGTATAAGGGTTAATTTTACAAAAAAAAAATAATAAGGACTAAATGTGTACATTTCAAAAAGTATCTTACCCTATCAAGTCATTATCCCTATACATTTTAAGTCATTAAACTATTTTTTTAATAAGTTATCATTAAATTTTCTTCGGTAGTTTAAAAACTATAATTGTAACAACATATAATAGGTTATAAAAAAATAAATTAATATTAATTATGTGGATATTACATGGATAAAGTTGATAAACTAAAAGGATGATGCATTATGTATTATTATGTAAACATTTAGTCACTAAATCATTTTTATACACGATTTACTATTAAATTCTCTTTGGTTGTGAATGTTAATTTGACAACTACATGGTTGTGATACATTTAATACGTAATTATGACTTTATATTGTATATATAAGTCATCTAACTAGCATCTCTTGTGTCCTAAATATGAACGAATAATATTTTAGCACTCATGCTGTCTTCTTTTATGATTTCCAACTCAAATATGAAGGGGAAAATCGATTTTTCTTCCAAAAAATGGTGGTTTCATGGTTTTAATCTGTTTATATGATAGTTTGAAATAACTAAACAACTCCACTAACAGTAAGATCAAACCCCCATTTGTTTACTAGTCTTTCCAAGTCTACCATATTATTTTGATGTGTTCAAAAGATTAGTTGAAGATTTAAAGAATGAATAGCTTAATTTTATATAGAAGATTTTGAGATATATATATATATATATATATATATATATATATATATATATATATATATATATATATATATATATATATATATATATATATATATATTGAGATACTGTGTTTGAAATAGTTTGTACATTTTATCTTATCTCTTGTATTGATTGCTATGACATAGTATGAACTTTTTAACATGTATTTGTTTGTTAAAAGAATTTGAATTGGAGAGAACAGTGACCAAAAATGACAAACTGTGAACATTAGTTGATTGTGTCTGATAGGGCTGGTCCAGTTCCAAGACGTCGGTTGTTTGAGTTTTGACTTTTACAGAATTCTTGTCAGGCTTTAGGCTTAATGGCGTCCATGTATGTTTGTCATGTCTAGATCTAGTTTGCTCCAAGATTTGATTTTTGTGCAAAAATGATCTTTAATGGTTTCAATCTGTTCCTAAGAAAATTTTGGATAAAACAATAAAAATATTAATGAAATCCTAAGTGAAGAGAAAATCTTAGTGAAGATTATGAAAACTATATAAAACTAAAGAATAAGGAAATCGTAAACTCCTCTTCTTTTTCCCCGAACTTACACTCCCTTTTTTTTTTCTCCTTCTTAGTCATAAACTCCTCTTCTTTTTCCCCGAACTTACACTCCCTTTTTTTTTTCTCCTTCTTAGTCAATGACCGCATAATGAAAACCATGGGAGGTTTCTAACTTCATATATAATGGGCATATTTAAAAGATTGACCATATTTGTTCACTTAAAAAACTAATTACTAATTACTTTTCCAACTTGTCACCCTTAGTCTTTCCACATAGACAAATATTTAAAACATCTTCAAACCCATTTAATTTTGAAATTAAGGGTTCTATTAATTTAATTACAAAAACTCCAAATTTTCCAATTAATTATTCAATAAATGCCTAATTTTCAATCCTCCATCTTTCAGTAAAAGCGAGCTTAACCTCCATATTTCATAATAAATTACTTAAATCTCTTAAGACTAAAACATCTAACCGAGGTTGTTCAAAACCTCGAATCTAATGATTTTAAGATCTTACAAGTGAAAAACGATCTCGACTCACCACTTTAGTTTTATTATACAACCGAGTATCAAAAAATCGTCTATTCAACTTGAAATCAAGTGTCACAAATTGCAAGAAGTCTTCTAGAGCATCGTCATTTTAGCAATGCATCTCGAGTTAGTCAGAGCACACCCATAATAATCCGTTTGTGATCTTATGTCTTACTTGTACATAATCAAAATGATCTTATTTCTAATTAAGATGTTTTATTCTTAATGTTTACGGTTTGTAGCAACAAAAATTATGGGTGATGTTTAAGAAGTTAAAGTTGATTATACTATCTTGCAAACAAATTTGAATATATGTTCATTTTGGTAGAATCCTACAATCACGATTTTGCAAAACGTAAAACGATTTTAAGTAAAATTTCGAATTTGACAACCTTGCATCTAACCCAAATTTGTGGTTGTTGCACTAAAAATCAAGAAACTAGTTCCATTTAACTTTGGTTAATGTCCCCTTTGTTTTTGTTCATCTCCCGCCAAATGCCACCATTTGAAAACAATTTTTTATGTTCTATTCTATCTAGGCGTATGCACCAAATGATACCTCGAGGTTGAAGGTTAAAAACATTTAGCCATTAAGATGACTTGGACCATCAAAATATGGTTTGTATCATATTGTAATCCAATATTGTATTTGTAGAAGATTTTTGATTTTTTCCATGGTGCAAAGTGATTTAGGGATCGACACACTCAAATGGCCATAAACACAAAAATTACTAAAGAAACTCAATTAGGGTTCGGTTTTGTTAATAACTTCAAAAGATGACTTTCAAGAAAAACAGAACGAATACTTATAAATTATAATAGTCAATAAACCTAACATAGAATTCAAAATAGAATAGGAAAGTATATCCTATCATAAATCGCAAACTATGGAAATCCAAATAACACTCAAAAAATACAAAACGTCATTTTTGGCCCCTTAACAATTCTAAATGACCGGAAAGCATTCTACATCATGGCAAAGCCATTTTTGCTCGTTGGCTTGTTTCCTATTTGACCATGCGAATTTGGGGTTAAAATAGAAAAATGCAAGGATTTTTTCATGAAAAAATAAAATTGAGGTTTAATCCAAAAAAAAAAAAAACACACACACACACATAAAATATAAAGTTTTTTATGGGATTAACCCTAAATAAAACTTGTCAACAATCATAAAATCATAGAGTAAATGAATAAAAATCATATTGTATTGTGACAATTGGTATAAGAGTTTGTTGTAGTCACAAATGGTTGATTATATACTTATTTACGACAGGTATATATTGATGCTATTTTTTTCTGAATGTTGTTTTTGTTTTTCACAATAGGATGTTACAATCTTTATATTCGTACAAAAACACCAAATTCCAAAATCTCTTCCCAAAAATCACTAACATATCAACTTCAAATCAAATCAACTGAAGTAGTCACGTCACCAGAAATCACCTGAAATCAAAATTCAAGAAATCAAAATTTTAAAATGAAATGACCCAATGAAACATTGACAGCTGTCAAAAAGTTAGCTTGCCTTGGAAATCAATGGCTTTGCATTCGCTTCCCACTCATTCGCCCACCTGGCAGACAATCCCATTTCCAAAACCCCCTTCTTTAGCTCTTTCAAACCATCACATTCATCCGGAAAACCCTTAAAAAGCATCTGCCAAATAGCCACGTCAGCAAACAGTATCTTACACCATGAGTCAAAGTCAACACATATTACCATGAGTTCATCAGCAAGCTCTGATGATGAGGAGAAGAGTAAGCCATTTGTATCAACTTTTACAAGCTCTGTGATGCTTCATCAAAGTCAAACAAGAAAAAGTCAACTTTTTTTGTTTATTATTTTTTTAATCATAAAAAGGGATTATTTATTACCAAGAATAAGAAACAGCACAAACAGGTAGACCACATCCAAACATATCTACAACCTGTCAACAAATAATAACAATGTACTTTCATTTATAAGCACAAAAACTATTCATATTTATATTTATATATATTATTAAATTATATATTTATATAAACCTTCATTGGGAGATCCAACCCAGAAGAAGATGTATGTAAGCAAACCCCAAGATCAGCTGATCCTGTAATTATATACAAGAAATAACAACATACTTTCATCTATTTATTTTTTATAACATTTTATTTTTCATTTAATAAAAAAAAGATTTAAAAGTAGAATGCTATAACAGCACCTTAAT